AACTACAAACTCTACTCAATTTATAGGAAATTTAAAGGTTCTTGAACAATTTTTTCAATAATGCTCTTCCAGGTAAGAATAAAAAAATAAATTCAAATAGCATGAGATTTTCGAATATGTTTGGTAAAATAAAATCCATGCTCCAAAAACTCATCCAAGTGGAATCCAATCCAATCCAATATTCCATTAATAACAGTCAAATATAACTCCTATCAAGAAAAATCGTTTAGGCGTAGATTTCTATTTCTAGCAGAAAATCGCATGTCTTTCTTCTTGTTCTCTCCTCTGAGCTTGAAGGTCTCACTGGTTTCTTCAGCCAATGCTTTTGCCTAAGAAAGCAAACCGAGACTCAATAACAGAAAATATACAAAAGTCGAGCAATAAAGTAATCCTTAAATATCATAAATCGTGAGGATACTCGCAGAAAATGTTTGAAACACACCCTTGAAATAACGCCCTTGAGATTAATTACATTTGGATGATTTAGCCTTCTTAAAATAAGTATTTCTCTAGCCATGAACTGCAGGTTTGGTTAGATTGTTTTGGTTCTAGGCCACATCTGTGTGGTTCTCTCATTTCATCCGACCTATATTGGGGGCTACACTACAAGAAAATGATTAAATTCCAACGTAAATATATTCCAATAAAATTCCAACGGCAATTTCAATGGATATTTCAATGTTATTATTTCTGTTGGAATAATTCCAACGGAAATTCCTACAAAAATATTCCGTTGGAATGAGTTTTCCATTAGAATTTCCGCTGGATTTTGATGATTTCAACAGTAGATTTTCCAACGGTGGTGGAAATAAAAATTCCAACAAAAATTGCATATTCCTACGGAAAATCCTATGGTGCAAAACCGTTAGAAATATAGTCGTTTGATGCAGTATTNAGTTAGGTTTAGGGCGTGCTTGTTTATGAAATATTTCATTCAAAATGAGTTACTTTAGTTAACTAGAGTTAATTTTGAAAAAGATAGTATAGTTAATTGTTAGTGAGATATAAATTATTGGAAATGATTATTAATGATTTGATGTAAAAGTAGGATATAAATGATTGGAAATGATAGGTAATTAAAATTATGTGGGTGGATGAATAGTTATTAAAGTTGATGTGATATGTAAGAATGATTGGTTTATAATATTTAATTATATAAATAATATAAATGATAGTGAGGTTGAGTTAAAGTTGAGTTAGATTTTGAGTGGAAAATGAATTATTTCATAAACAAGTATGCCCTTAGGCTTTAGGAGTCTTATTTAAAGACTCCTTCTTCTTTGTTATTTGCAGTTGAATTTGATATTAAGAATTGATTGACTCTTGTGAGTTTTATCAAGAGAGTATCTCGTTACCTTTCTCACTCGTACGCTTTCTCCGACCCTTCCACGTCCACCCCGACCGACCCTAGGACCCCCGCGACCGCCTCGGCCTCCGGCGAATTCACGGTTCGTTTGTTGATCCCTCACCATGGTTGCTAGCGTAAGCCGGATATCCTCGATTCCAATGGACAGATCTGCCACCCGCGTATCCATGGATTGCATTCGCTCGTCCATATGCTGAAAACGCTCGTCAATCTCAGCATCACGTCGTTTCGGTGACATCGAGAATCGTCCCGGTTAACTGATACCAGATGATGTAGGAAGCGTACGAGTTGGAAAGCTAACGAGATACTCTCTCGATAAAACTCACAAGAGTCAATCAATTCTTATTATCAAATTCAACTGCAATTAACAAAGAAGAATAAGTCTTTAAATAAGACTCTTAAAGCCTAAACCTAACTTGTTCACCAGTCTACTAAATAATAATAATAATAATAATGCATCAGAGTATCTTGGCCAACGATGGTTTTTGGGAGCCGACGCCGAGGCTCAATAACTGGTGGGCCATTTTCCGATTGTCTATCGCAAAGTCTCCCAACAACGGAATGCTTGGTCATAGTTATGAATTCGAGTGCGGCGAACGATGTGGTATGTTTTGTGTTAATTCAGTTGTGTGGATTATGCGTATGAAGGCGTGTACATGTGCCTTTGCAGGAGTTCAATCCTTGCCCGAGATTATATTTACTTTCGGGGTTGTTGGGCGACCTTCAACCTTCGTGTTCGATCGGGGGAAACGTTGGGCTATTTCATGAGACGTCTCCAACGGGAATGGGTCAGATTTGAGGGCGAATCCTGCTCAACAGGGGGAGAATGATGCAGTATTATTATTATTATTATTATTATTATTATTATTATTATTATTATTATTATTATTATTATTTAGTAGATTGGTGAACAAGTTAGGTTTAGGCTTTAGGAGTCTTATTTAAAGACTCATTCTTCTTTGTTATTTGCTGTTGAATTTAATAATAAGAATTGATTGACACTTGTGAGTTTTATCGCTACTCTTGTTACCTTTCCCACTCGTACGCTTCCATACATCACCATTGAAATCATCAAATTCCATCTAAAATTCCAATGAAAAATACATTCCAACGGAATATTTTAGTTGGAATTATTGGAATATCCGTTGGAATTTCAATTGGAATATGTTACCATAAAATTTTCCGTTGGAATATAAAAATTTTTTTTGTAGTGTTAGTACTCGGATTGTATTGATACATTGTATTTTTCACTGGTTTAATTAGATTTTCCTGTCGTTCGGGAAAAAAAAAAAAGATAGAGAAAATCAAAATTACCGTGATTGTCAAATTACATAAAACCGCAACAAGACAATAAAAATGCATAGTTCTAACACCGGAACCGGTGATTGACCAGGGCTGAGGATTACCGAGTCAATTTTAGGCTACCATCTAATCTACATGTGGGAAAAAAAGTTGTTGAACAGAGAATGCTTGGTCATAGTTATGAATTCGAGTGCGGCGAACGATGTGGTATGTTTTGTGTTAATTCAGTTGTGTGGATTATGCATATGAAGGCGTGTACATGTGCCTTTGCAGGAGTTCAATCCTTGCCCGAGATTATATTTACTTTCGGGGTTGTTGGGCGACCATCAACCTTCGTGTTCGATCGGGGGAAACGTCGGGCTATTTCATGAGACGTCTCCAACGGGAATGGGTCAGATTTGAGGGCGAATCCTGCTCAACAGGGGGAGAATGATGCAGTATTATTATTATTATTATTATTATTATTATTATTATTATTATTATTATTATTATTATTATTATTATTTAGTAGATTGGTGAACAAGTTAGGTTTAGGCTTTAGGAGTCTTATTTAAAGACTCATTCTTCTTTGTTATTTGCTGTTGAATTTAATAATAAAAATTGATTGACACTTGTGAGTTTTATCGCTACTCTTGTTACCTTTCCCACTCGTACGCTTCCATACATCACCATTGAAATCATCAAATTCCATCTAAAATTCCAATGAAAAATACATTCCAACGGAATATTTTAGTTGGAATTATTGGAATATCCGTTGGAATTTCAATTGGAATATGTTACCATAAAATTTTCCGTTGGAATATAACAATTTTTTTGTAGTGTTAGTACTCGGATTGTATTGATACATTGTATTTTTCACTGGTTTAATTAGATTTTCCTGTCGTTCGGGAAAAAAAAAAAAAGATAGAGAAAATCAAAATTACCGTGATTGTCAAATTACATAAAACCGCAACAAGACAATAAAAATGCATAGTTCTAACACCGGAACCGGTGATTGACCAGGGCTGAGGATTACCGAGTCAATTTTAGGCTACCATCTAATCTACATGTGGGAAAAAAAGTTGTTGAACAGAGAATGGGCTAAAAATGGGGCCGCAAAGAACTCTTTTCCTTCGTTCAATAAAACTCGGAATCTCGTGACCGGCCTGAACTTGCTCGTATATTTTTAGTGCTCTATCCATCACTGTATCTTGGCTAAGCATCTCGGCTATTCGCCCTGGAGTAGGGTGAGTTGTGTCCATGTAATATTTATGACAAATCGACTGTAATTCTTGAATAAAAGGCGGAACGAGTCTTGGATCGTATCCAGCTGAGGCCATCAACATTAGACCAATGTAATATGCTTCGAGTTCCATCCTGAAAACAGTGAAATCAATGACTGCTCATCAACATGAACCCATACATTTATATTAAGCAATCAAAATGCACCATGTAAATTCCAATGCCTGGTTAAAAATGTAGTAACTATTAATTTAGAAAGTATATTTAGAACATCCTTTTAAATTGTATTTAATTTTCAATTATAGTAATTCTTCGACTGCAGAAAGTAATAGTCCTACCTAAAAAATAAAAAATAAAAGATTATCAAATAAGTAATATGTTTCACAATTTACTAAGCCTACAGCAGATTCAAATCATTCTATAATATTCTATTTTTACCTTCTCAAGGAGTAAAGCGTAAAGCCGCATAAACGCACAAATATTGCACCAAACCAGAAGCCTGAAGTACAAGGGATTAGGCCAATTAAGGCCCAAAAAGTCAACCAGGGGTTCCCTCCATCAGCATGCATAGCCACTCCATGCCCAACCTAACCATGACCAAGCACTATGTAAAGATTATACCGAATCATTTAACTTGAGTTTTGCAATTTTATTGTTTTTTAATTCCACAAAAAGAATTTACAAAAAAAAAAAGGAAAAACTAAATAAAATTCATACTAACCAACCTCATGTGCGAGATCTGCAGCTAATTCCTCGTCCCCAGGGCCGTACAGTGTCGCAGTATGAATAACAATCTGTCCATTATCAATATAGTATAATTTGGGTTTTCCCGCCTCAACCACCGTCAAATTCCAATTCAGTCCTTCCAAATGCTCAGTATCATACTTCAAATCCCAAATTTTATTATCAACACAATCCTGGTAATTTTCCTTCTTTCCATATCTTGGTGCCACAACTTGTTCACATCGTCCTGCCAACATTAATTTTTAAAACAATTAAGATATGATGATACAAAAACATTAATTAATTATGTAAATTAATTATTACCTCTAACGACTTTTTCTCGATCAACATAAGTAACGGAAACTCGACAATCCCGCTGAAGCCTGAGCCCGTCGCTTAAGGCCCGAACAAGCTTCACGAGCAATCGAAGAAGGTACGTGGCTTCAGGAATATCTGGATCGAGCGTTGCGGCCTCCCGCACTATTCTTAAATGGGGGTTGTAATATTTAATCAGAATTCCTATTTTTGCAGCTATTTTTTCGGGATAAAAGACCAATCGGAGTTTGTTGGAGATGGGGATGTGTTTCAGACTTGACGAAGCAACTAGCATAAGGGTATAAATGTCCGATAAAAAGTAGGGTGGGGTTTTAAGCCACCGGCCGAGCACGAATCCCATCGCTCGCTTCCAAAACTGACCAACGCTTGCTAACACCAACGACATAGTATGTGGCTGATTTTTTTATTTTCTTAAAAAAAAAAATCGAGGGAAATTGAAAAGAACAAAATTTCCACCAATTCCCTCGGGCCTGTAAATTAATTAACCTTGATCAAAAAAAATTCAGAACTTCATATTCATTACTGAATCATGGCTTCCCTTCTACCAAGAGGAACTAATTTCTTTCAATACAACCTTAATTCTTGCTGTCGGGGTAGAATATTCATATATATTCAGTTTCTAACACAAAAAAGTTGACCAAATTCGGAAAGAAATAAAAATAACAAAATTACCAGAACAGCACAATTCGGTAGTAGAAGAGCCGAGACTCACGAACTCATCATCGGACAAATATATTTTAAAAAAAAATTTAGGGTTAGCGTTTTCAGATTGTGAAACAATATATGTGTATTTATAATGGGTCACAATAAAGAAAGTAGTTACTAAATATAAAGAATCATATTCACTTCCCGTCCTAAGTTAGGAAGGTTATCTATAGAGAATCATAGTATAATTAATCAATTGAATTCCTTATGTTATGCAAGTAATGAATAATCAATCGCGTCTATCAAGGCACGTTAAAACTCCATACCGGAGTAGTTCCAACTTCCAATCCCTGCCCTCGTTATTTTCCACACATTATTTATTTAATACACAAATAAAAGCTAATTAAATATATTAAATATTCATTTAGTAAATATCTAATTAAATAAAATTTATTTAGTAATTATTATTTAATATATATTAATTTCATATCAACAACCTTTAATATATTTATTTATTATTTAATATATTTTATAATATATATATTAAATATATTATTTAATATTTATTTATTTAAATATGTTAAAATAAAATCATATTAATTATGATATTTATTTTATTATCTAAGTCTCTTATTTAATAAGAAGCAGTTCAAACACTATAGCTTTCTTTAATTTTTTATTCTCCAACTAACTTCTCTTTTCAACACGTCACATTTAATTCATGTGTTGTCATATTTGCCCTTAGGTGGTCCAATTATTTTTTTTTTACATTTTTTAATTCCTAAACCCTAATTAAAAATACTCCACATTTTCTACCGGCTAGGGACTACCACATGGTCACCGCCATTGCCACTTATCACATCCTCAACCAAAGGAGAAGGAAGCAATTTTACGGACTCAACTTAGAAGATTCGCTAGCCAAAGTTCGTTGCAAGAAGGTAGACAATTGCGAGTCATTCGTCGATGTTCTATTATTTTTCTTAAAGTTTCGTTTTTCACTAGAGAGTTTGGTAATTTTTTTCTTATTTATTTTTTGGGAATGTGAGAATTTGACGAGTTTTGTTCAAGATCTTCGTTTAATGTATAAATGGATGAGTTTGTGATTTTAATTTTACCGGATTGCTTTTGTCATGTTCTACATCTAATATGATCTAGGATATCGTTATTTTGTTGAACGAGATGTGCTTATTATATCAAAATTCTCATGAACTCACCACCACCATCTGTCTATTGGCTTTCATGGCTTTCAGACATGAGAGATTTGTTTTTATTCTTTTTTGCTCCACTTTCTATGTTTGTAGAACCATCTGTCATTGAATGCCTTCTGCGTTTGCCACCATGGTTGAAACTACTATCACACACAAGGATGTGTTAATTCCTTTTTGCTTCAGTTCTGAATGTTACTTTTATATTTTTTAATGGCATTATAATTTAGGACCTAAATGTATTTGAGTTAATGAGGATTTTTTTTTGTGTTCAATAATTCAATAATAAGNTTTTTTTTTTTTTGTGTTCAATCAAATTCAATAACAAGTTCTCTTAAAAACATATGCATTTGATAAGATATAAAAAGGATCTGCTCACTATTGTGGAGACTGAATATTTCTTTCAACGTAAGCGGTTTCATTTTGGAGAACACATAAAATCGTAGAACTTTCATGTATCTTATCAGCATGAAAGATTGCATTTTATAATTAAAAATTATGGTTGGATGTGACTGAGATTCTTATGTAATTAGCCATAGAAATCTAAAGCTTTTGATTTTCTTAACATTATTGTTGTACTGGTCTTTCTGTGGATTTTGTTAATATTTCGTTAGGAGTGATATTATATGTGTTCCAGTCTTGCACAATTATGCATTATCTTCACATTAGACTATTAGTGTTGGAAAAAATTATGTGCAAAGTGGTGTGGGTCATTAGTATTATATGGTTTCCCTCAATAGTTTAAATTATTCTTATTCAGGTTTAAAAAGAATTCTTGGGAAATAACAAGTAAGTGCTTGATGATTGATTAAAGAGTGTGCTTTATTTTGTTGATAAAAGTTGTTAAGTTGGAGATTAGTATTATTGGTTTGTTGATGTTTGTGCTTTTTCTGCAGAAGTTAAATTAGTGCTCAAACAATAATAATGCCCGTGTTTGCTCAATCTCAAAATAAATGCATGATAGTCAAATTATCTGAATTTATATGAGCCTTAGGGCTCGCTTGTTTACAAAATAATTCGTCCAAAATGAGTTATTTTGGTTAACTAGAGTTAATTTTGAGGTGGTATAGTTAGTTGTTGGTGGGATTTTAAGAATGTATTAAAATAATATTTAAAATAAAATGATTAAAATTGATTGATGTAAAAGTAGGAGATAAATGATTGAAAATAATTGGAAATAATAAATAGTTAAAATTATGTGAGTGGATGAATAGTGAATTAAAGTTGATGTGATGTGTAAGAATTATTGGTTTGTATTATTTAATTATATGAATAATATTAAAGATAGTGGAGTTGAGTTAAACTTGAATTAGATTTTTAATATGAATTAAATGTAAGTGAAAAAATTAATAAACAAGCATGCCCTTAACCTTTCCAAAAATTTAGCTGGAGACTTTTACTTGATACTACATTCTTTTATTGATATGTACACATGGCTCATGTTTTGAATAGATTTTTTAAGTGCATAAGAAATTTTAGTCATGAATTGGTTTGTGTGATATTATTTCTAGCCTTGATGTTTATATTTTGTATTTCTGTTATGGCTAATACTTTTATTTTTCATTTTCTTATGGTATAATTACACATGTTTTTTAGTTTTCTTCTTTTAGACTTGATCAGTGGTTGAAGTAAAAATTAATAATATTTCTTTATTCAGGTATGTTTGTCTATTGCAAATGGAGCTGGAAGAGTCATTGTTGACAATTCTCTTGGCATAGTGCTAATAATGGACTAGATCAAAATGACTCAATTAAATTCTAGTGCTTCTTCTAGTAGTGAAGTTTCTAGAAAAAATATATCAAACGGCGCAATGCACCTTGGGTCGCTACGGAAATAGCCTCCTTGTATAATTACAAGGGTAAGGTCTGCGTACAACTGACCCCCCAGACCCCAATCTGTTGGGAATATACTGGGTATGTGACATTCATCATATTTTCATGCATTATGAGTGATATATAGTGATATTTGGTCATGGTTATCGTGTGATTGTGCACCATTTTGTTTTATTTATTAATCTATGATAGAGGTGCTTTTGTCGTTGGTTTTGCAGGAAATATGCCCGGAAAAGCGTTGGAAATGGAATCGGGACGAAAAACGGCGAGAACGGGTGCAGAAGAGGCCACACGACTCGTGTGGATGGTGACACGGGTCATGTGAGTTGAGAAAATAACAGACGCAGTTGCGGCCTTTTCACACGGGTCGTGTGACCTCACACGACTCGTGTGACCAGTCGTGTGAGTCTGAAAGTTCGCCGAAGTGTTGAGAAAAGTCACACGACTCGTGTGGCATGTGACACGACTCGTGTGACGCGCATACCAGATCTGCGGGGAATAGGATTCTTGTGCGATTTCTTCCCTTTTTCGACCCAGAATTTCCCTACAGTATAAAAGAGACCTGAGGAACCCGTTTTTGGGACTTTTGACACCATTGGAGGCCTAGAGAAAGCACGAACACACGAGGGATTCGAGAAAATCAAGATTGAAGATTCGGGAACTAACAGCGACAATAGTCCTTCTTTCTTTTCTCTTTTTCTTCTTCATTGAACTCATGGATTTATTTATTTTGAGTTTTGAGAATATGTTTAGTAGCTAAACCTATTAGATTCTAAGATTGGTTAGTACTCAGATTAATTTATGATTTAGTTTTTATTTCTTTCATTCCGGTTTATCTTTCGTTTATGAATTTCTTGTGCTTATTTTTATTGTGTGAGTAGATGGCCACTATGAATGCATATTTGTAATCGATTTGAGACCGAGAGGAGATAATTGATTGCTAGAATTGAGAGATTTATAACGTAAGAGAATAAACAGACCGAGAGGTTGATAGGACCTTGCGAGAGAACGAAAATCCTAAGAACTTATGGGAGTTAGTTGTTCATCGATCGAGAGGAGATAGAAAACAATTAATATCTACGATTTGACTTGTTCGAGAGAAAGGTTTGAAATCAATTTAGCGATTATCTCTACGATTGGTAAAATTAAATAAGGTTTGTTTGAATATAAACGTTTCATGAATTAATTCCGAGGAACGCTTAGCCTAGAATCTACCTTTTGTTTCTTTATTTATTTTTATTTGTTTAGATAAATTAGTTTTTAATTTAATTCTTAGTTTATAATCATCATTCAATTCACTAGTCTAGATAATATTTCATCGTTGTTATTTTAGTACTTAATTAATTTAACTACAATCTCTGTGGAATACGACCTTGCTCACCACTACTTATAGCTACTCCGTACACTTGCGGATAGTGAAAATAATTAGCGAACAGTATGTTGTTGTTGTATTTCTTTATTCAGGTATGTACTTGCTCATTTTTCTATTCATTTGTTTAATTTGTTTATGTTTGTTGGAGATCACATTACTTGTACTATTATTTTTTATTCCTTATTATGTGTTTCTACATATGATTAAATTGATGACATTTCTTTTTTCATGTATGTGCCATTTCTTTATTCTCATGCATTTGTTTATTTTTTTTCTACTATGTTTGGGATCATACTACTCGTACTATCATTTGCTTTCTTATTGTTAAATG